TCTCTCTCTCTCTCTCTCTCTCTCTCTCTCTCTCTCTCTCTCTCTCTCTCTCTCTCTCTGTATTCCTGCCCCTCTCTTTCTCTCTGGAGCTTCGGCTTAATTAACGGGAGGTAACAAACCGGGAGGTACTACATCCATTTATTTATGCGACACCAATCACGAACGGTGTGCCGGCACGACACTTCGGTGTCGTTAAACCTGCGGCGGTCGGCTATCAAAATGGCGAGTAAACAAAGCACTGAATCAGAAATCAATATAAAACGCGCGCGCACGCGTTCGCGCGATGGTACTACAAAAGCACCACGACGCCGGGTGATTAATAGTAAACGCACGACGGCTTTTTTCTCTTCTAATTTATTCGTCCCGCGAGATCACATTTTTCCGTGTGCACGCCTTAATAACCGTTTAATGCTGTGCTAATGACGGTTCTCGCCAGGACTAATGATTCTGATCGCCCTGCACTAACGACAGCGTCATCGGCATTCAACAGTAACAGGACGCTATGCAGCCGCACACGTCGATGGTACATCGAGGATGAAGATTTATGTAAAAATATTCCACCGTTGAATCGCGCTAATAACACGGACTACTATTTCATTACAAAAAGCGCAGCAGCGATTCCCTCCGACCAGCCTCCTCTAATTCGTCCGATTATACTTGATAATACAATTAATATAATGCTAATGATTATATGCTACTTAGAGAGCGGTTATATAGATAATATATATTATCCGTTACGGCGTATTGGTAGTGTCGGCCGTCGGCGTCATTAAAGTGAACGCGCAGCAATAGCATGGCCCGTTACGCATATTTAACATCGCATTTGTACGCGTCATTTCGGTGAAAGATCGCCATTTTTCGTCGTCACTCGTGCGCTCGGATTCGCGATTTTCACAAATGAACAGCGGGAGAGAAGTAATGTCGACGTTAAACGTCGATTGCACTTATTCGAGGTTCATTCGGAGAGACATGTACGGCTTCACGCGTGTTCAACCCTTCAGTAAGCTCGTGCGTTTTTGACCTTACTTTAGGTGCCTAGTCTACCATTGGAGATGTATATTTTTTCGGAAATACGTGTAATATAAGCGGATAGACTATATATATCACAAAAACACGATATATCTTTAGCGGAGAAAACTATGTATTATGTGTAAACTATGTGGTTGTGTGTTGTAAATGCTACATAGCCTTCAAATTACGTCTGTAGATCACGCGGCTAATAAAGGGTCAATATTCTTTCAATAACAATAATGCGATCTCGGTTGAAGGAGGAAATTAACATTTCGACACGCACGATCGCAATCTCGCAATATTACGCGTAACTATCTACCGATCTTTCGTTCACGTGCAAACGACCGTTCAAATTTTATCCCCGATTCACACACGGAGGGTGTCTTTAATGCACCTGAAATTTCAGTACACGCGGTTTGTGTGCCGCGGAACACGCTGTGAGATGCGATCGTGGATGACGAGCTTCGTTTCCTCAAAACGTAAAAATTTGCATTGCCCGTGGGCAAGTAGAAGGAAAGAAAGAGATAAAGGGAGAGCTAGTGAGAGAAAAAGAGAGAGAGATAATGTGGCAAAAGAATAAGGTAGAAGAGAGAATACCGTGCAGCCGGTGCATTTCTACGTAACAATAATAATTACAAGTTGTTCCTTCCGTGGCACTGCGAGCGATCACCCGAAAATAAGCGTTTGTAATAGCATACCTTCCTTCCTTCCTTTACTCGCGGTTTGCTATTCGTTGGGTCTTCCTCCGGCGCTGCTTTTCTTCCGCCTTTCGTCCTTCGGGCGTGGAGCCACGGCTATCTCGATGATCGCGCGAGAGCCGCTGCATATTTTGATATAGCACGCTCCAAGAGTCGCACTTATTTGTTCGTCCGCAACGAGCTAAGTGAGCGCCTCAGCATTTTCTAACGTTCAAAAGATGGACTCCGCTATTTCGCTGTTAATCGTGTCTACTGCAGGGTATATTTGCGCAAATAAAATACACTGTAAAATTAATTTACCGTTGTGGCGGGAGCTTACGGAAAAATAATGATTCTCGGAGAACGCGTCCCTTAATCTCGACGAGTCTCTCCCCGGCGAAAATTCAAGTGCGACTTTACCCGCACGGTAGACTGTGGCTTGATTACGAGGGAGTTTTGGAGCCGCCTGTATATCCGCGGATTCCATCTCGTGGGCCCTACGGTGTAACAAGCGAGCGCGCATAATGATATTAATCAGGGCGGTGTGTTCGGCTTCCTTAAAATTGCCGGCAGGCTCAATTTCTCACTTAAAATCTAATTAGAGCTTGCCGGAGCTCTCGAGCTGCCGTAGGCCGGCCGACGAGGTCTCAAAGGGCGTGGGGGAGAGGGAGGGGGAATGGGACCGAGTGAGAGAGAAAGAGAGAGAGGCCCCTCGACGCAAGTGAGCCGCGAATTTGACCTCGGAATAAAGACGGATCCCAACCTAAGGCCCTACTTTGCGAAATTGCAGTTTCCTGCCCTTGGATCGCCGATCGTCCCGCGGACCCATTTCGGACCCACCGAACTCGACGATGGGCCCACCAGCCCGGCCCGCCGCCAGACTCAATCGGGGCCCCTGAAGAAGCATCCAGCCGTCAGGGATCAGTCGTCAGGATTTTCGGGACGTCCGAGATGAGTCGTCCGTCGATCAGTCAGGATACTCGGGCAGGCCCAATTGTCGCCGGATTTGAGGTGAGGCATTTTATCAGTGCTGGTCGATTATTCTTATCATCGATTCAATCACTCCATGTAAAATTCCCGAATTCTTTCTTTTAATATTTAGGAATATCGTGTATAAGACGTAAATTAAATTTCTGCAAAATATGTATATAATTCTACGAAAAATAAAGAAAATATTATTGACATTAAAATGTTGCAAAATATCGCAAAATATGAAGAGAAAATTTTAATTTTTATATAATCAGGAGAAAATTGTCGACATCAAAATGTTGCAAAATGTCGCAAAAGATGAAGAGAAAATTTTAATCTTTGCAGTCACAGGAAAACTGTCTTGACGTTAAAATGTTGCAAAATGTCGCGAAAAATGAAGAGGAAAATTTAATTTTTACAGTCAGGAGAACTATCTCGACATTAAAATGCTGCAAAATGCCGCGAAATATGAAGAGAGAATTTCAATTTTTACAATCTGGGAAACTATTTCGACATGTTTCGCTTGAATTTCTTTACTCATGCTCATATTTCTGTGCTAAATTTTTGAAAACTATTAACTTCATTCCTAGATTCGCGGTCCGCTATTCGTTATATATTTCGCAAATATTCAGTAGCTTGCATAAGGATTTCATTGTCGGCGATAACGATGAAGCACGACCTGATTTCCGCAATCGACAAGCCGTTATCACTCATTTCTATGATATGTCGTTGTTGTTAACATGTTAATTATATGTATCGAGACGAGGGTCGCGCGAACGCGTCGGGGATGCATCGGGTGTGCACAACGACGATGGTAAAAAGGTGGAACGAGCGGGGGGATGAGGAAGGGGATGACAAGAATAAAAAACACGGCCAATCGTTAGCAAGGTACAAATTTCGCCATTTGCCGCAATAAACCCTCGAACCCGCTTGTAACTTCTCCTTATGGGAGGCATGAGTAATCGCCTTGTTAGCCCTTATGGCCTATAGCGTTCATGCTCTCTCTCATCCATGGGAGGGACGACAACAACAACAACAGCAGCAACAACAGCGCACGCACCGATATAGAAAGAGACGAAAAAGAAGAATACGAGAGAGGGAAAAAGGGATACATAGAGAAATAGAGGGAGAGAAGGAGAAACGATAGGGGTACGAAATACACACGCGATATATGTACCCCATCGACACCGGGGGTTTGTGTGTGTATGTATGCGCCTATGTACTCGAAGGAACTGTCGATGTAAAAGGAAAAGCAGAACGGAACGACAACGGCAAGAAAGAACGGAAGGAGAGGCCGAGAGACGAGAAAAAGAAAGAGAGAATAAAAGCGGGAAAGAGAGAGAGGGGAGGGGAGAGGGAGACAAGTGCGTTGTAAGCGAGGAACGAGATGAAAAAACCAATGAGAACGACAGATAGAGAAGGAGACTATAAGAGGCAGATAGATACAAGCAGATAAGAGAGAACGCTCGGATCTGAGATATTCACTCGGTGCCACTGGTATACTCTTTCCCTCTCCCCAACTCCGTCCGCATTTTCCACGTTAAAATCGAACTGGAACGTGTAACATCGCCGTTCGCATCTCGTGAGTCTCGCGTCGCTTCGCGTTCGCAATGTGCTCCTTAATTAATGACATATTAATAAAAGGAATAGCTTTGATAGATGAGGCGCGCGATCGTCATCGGCAAGCGAGAAACGCGTGCACGCGATACGCAATGTACGTGCCGACGGCGTGTAATAAGCATTGATAAGAGTGCGCGTACGTACAGAGTGTCCGCTTTCTTTCCGTTCACTGGCAGCAGGTTCCTCTCCCCGTGGCGGGTTCGAGTTGTTTCTCAGGGAGGATACGAAAAATAAGTTGGCCGACGTGAAATTTGCGCTACGAGTATCAAAGTTAATTAACGCGTACTGATCGTGAAATTGATTAACTTTTCTTCACTCATATATTTCATTTTCTAATACACAAAGACTCGTATTCGTCGTCAATGAGACCGATTTTTAATTAATGATATATGTTAAAAGTTGATTTTTGGCATAAACTTTGATTTCTAGTTAAAGTACTCGCATACGATGGTTTATGGCGTACATTTATGGTTTCGGAAAAGCATCGATTTTGGGTCTCGTCGGTCTGAAATACTGATACGTGAGTCAAGAAGGGTTAATTGTATAGCTTATTAAGTGAATCGCATCTCGAGTTCAAGGCTTCGGATCTGATATTAAAGTTAGAAAGATTCAATTCCTAACAAAAATGAGACATTTCTTAGGCACAAAGGCACTCTCCTATATCTAATTCTGGGTAATAATTAGTTAATTAGTTAAAAATTAAGTTAAAAAGTTAATAATTCTTAACTTAATTTAGTTAATTTTAAATGAGTTAACTTTTAACATAAAGTTATGTTTAAATGCATTAATTTTAACTTATTGATTCTTTTTATATAAGTTAAAATAATTCATTAATATTATAATCATTGCGATCTATATGCAATATATAAAATAAAAAAAATAAAAAACGCCAGTAAAATTCTTTTTGCACCTTTTTGAGTGCCAATGTTTTTTTCTTGGAATCTTGAGTACAAAACAGTCAATATAATGAACAACTACCTTTTTACTATTTTATATAAATTTAACCTGTAATTAAACAGTTAATTATGCAGAAAATATACATATTATTTGGTATAATTAACTTTAACAAGTTAATTCAACGTTAAATTACTTTTAATTAAATTAATTTTTGTTTACAAAACTTTACAAAGCTTAATTTTACTTTACTTTTCTTTTTAGTTATTTTTATTTATTATTTTAATTAACTTTAAGTTAATTTTATAAGTCATTATCTTTAAATTTAGTTAACAAAAAATATATTAACCAGCTCTAGTAGTGGGAATGTTTGCACGAAAAAAAATGGTTACAACCACATTCTTTATGTTTAGAAAAAAAAGAGTATGTTGAAAATTGAGCAAAAATGGAACCGGAGATTGATGGTTTCATTTGATTCTTCGTCAAAACGATTCCAAAGGTAATAATTCGTGCTAAACTCGAGGATTGTGACAGTCAAAATAGCCAGCGAAGTTACGTACTCTAAGATGGTCGGTGATACAACTCAGGACAACATTCGGAGTACCTACAACGTGTTTTGACCATTGAAGTGACTGCACATCGGTCATTTGAATCGTAAATAAAAAAAATACAACCAAGTTGATCACGATCTAACCTCGCTGACCATTTTGATTATTATAACCACCGAATTGACTCATGTATTATCTATCGTTGGAATCGTTTCAACGAGGAGAATTGAATAAAACCATGAATTTCCGGTTCCATTTTCGTCCAGTTTTCAGCATATTCCTTTACGTGAATTCAAGTTGAATTAATAAATAGATATAGTTAAACAGATATTAAAAATTTTTGTTGTTATATACCCATCTGTACAATTCTCACAGTCATAATTCTTACGATATGTAATGTTCAATTAATATATCTTCATATATAGTTGTCTCAACCGAAAAAATATTGTCTCTCTGTCGTAGTCTGCAGAATAAATAGTTGAAAAATTCGTAGGATCTGGATGTGCCATACAGCACTGAGGGTTTCGCTTAAACACATATGAGCAGGCAATAAAGAAGACCAGTGTACCACTTCCAGAGTACTACAGTTTCTACAGCCCTTTTGTATGTGTGAGCGAAAAATGACATCTATTCTGTTGCGGCAACCATATTTAGTTATTCCTAGTGTTTTTTCCGTGTGTACATACGGAGAGCGCCTTTTTCACTAGCTATCCGATTCCATTATCCTTCAGTTTGTGCCATACGATTTAAAAACTGCGAATAAATTGAACGTAAGTGAAATTTCTCGCTAAGTAAACGGCGCGGCACCACGTCGACCACGACGCGCCAAGGTGTTCCGACAAAGGAATAAAAATAGGAAACGAGCAATGAAAAAAAGGAACGATAAACTTTATTCTCGGCCATATAATCCTTGTTTTACTCCTCCTTCTCTACCTTCTCCGCCAGCGACGTTATCTCAGAGTGATGCGTTTATCGATGTATATCACTGATCTGGATTACCTCGATGTTTTCTATGTTAGGATCGGTTCCCGACAGTCGCTTATTAATTAATGGTTAATCGAGCTAATATGTGCGCATATGCGAAGCGAGATATGCGTCAATTCCGTCCGATAATTAGCATGATGTGTCGCCGATGTTTCCTGCGATCGCCGATTACTTATTGCGTGCAGCGACTCCAAGATCACGATATCCAAGATCGCGATGTGAAGTAAAGAAGATCGGGGCTAGATATCTCATATTTTTCAAAATTTCGAAGTTACAACTGCTCAGACAACTAACTGTTGTCGCTGTTTTAACTGACTGTATGAATATAATTGAGACAACAGAGACTTTTTGTATGTGTTAATGCCCGTTACGATTCTGTTAACCATAGATTTTATTTTGTAATAACGCAGCAACTTAGCTAGAACTCAGTTGTCTAATAGAGTGCAGGAGATAAGAAAGCCATATATATATTTTTTTTTTAGTAGCAGTTTCGGGTTCTCCGCGAGAAATCTCTAGTCTTCCTGCCAGCCGTTAATTATGATCCAAATTTACTTACTCGTCCGCCTATATTACTCAATTTAAATAATTTTATGAATGAAAATTACTTTTGTTATCCGAAACAATATATCATATACTTACAAGAAACATCATTCTAGCTAATAACATGTCGCTTAATTTTATTCATTCACGAGATAAAGAATATTAATACAAAATTTCGAGAGGCTCGAAAATTTACTTTTCTACCATTAATCAACTTTTCCAATTTTTTAACTGTAACATTATACCGATTTGAATGGAACTTAAAAAAAAGCATTTATATTCTAAAAAGATTATTTTGTGATTTTGTATATCCACTATTCCTCTCAAGATAAACACAAAAAAGCACATAAGCAACATACTCCTGGGATCATTTAGACACGGTCTAATTTCAAATA